CAGATTTTAAATGAGACCTGATTAATTTTTTATTCAAAATTTAGAATTTATAAAAACTAGTATCCCTAAATCCAGACTGTGCATATTGACTGCATTACAACTGCTCTAATAAGAATTCCTCATCTCCATGAGTGGTGTTTAAGTCCTGTAGTTAAAAGATAAGACCCCAAATTTTTGAAAGAAAAAAACTCTAGTCTTGTCCACCTTTATTGTACAAATTTAAGGACCTTTCCTTATTTATTTGCTTCTTTCATAGGCATAACAATCTCTTTGAAGTTCATTTCAATAACAGAAGCAATTAAATTGCAATTTCAGCAGACACTTTGAAATAACAGCTATTTTATTTAGAGTAATATTCATCAAACTATACCCAAACAACTTTTGCACACTGTGACAGGACAATTGCAGCTCATCCACTTGATTTGTAGCAACATAGGTTTGACCTACAGGTCTGCTTCTAACTGTTGAGAGGTCGTTCTGCAGGAAGATTCTGCATCCTAAGCTTCGCATCATATATTAAATACACCACATAATGCTGTATGTATAAAAGGAAATATGTCCTTCTCAAACAGATCCTTGCAACAGATCCTTTTATCAGGAATTGGAAGAATAGACTGCCATTATTTTATCTTGCATAACTATAAAAGCTTACAAAAGTCTATAAAACTGTCCATCTCACAGACCATAATTATGCATTGTCCTGTATCCCCTCACACTTGCCCATCCCCCCTCCCTCACCAATTTCTATCAACTATCTTTAAATTTTTGCTGACTTCATTATATTCCTCATAAAGCAAGGAAAACTTTGCAAAGTGCTCCAAGGCCCTAACTCCAAAAAGCCATTAAGAAGGTGGAAGTGCTGCCTGTACAAGCAGTTCTGCTTAGCAACTGCACAAGCAAAGTGCTCCACCTGTAGCTGAGAAACCCCTGCTGATGGGGATCTGAGAGATCTCCCTGGGTGTGCCCCGACCACCAGGCACAGTGTCTTCAGTAGGCAGACATAACCCCAATAAGCTGCACCACTTGCAGCCATGGGTCTCCCCACTTCCTCTCTATCCTGTTCTGATAAGAGTGACAGCAGTCATATTTCTATCTATCCATCACACTCTTGCAGACCCACCTAATGTATACAGAGGGCAGAGGACCCATGTGCTGTTTGATTTATAGTCCACCTGGGATGCAGTCTACTACTGCTGCCTAGTGCAGTCTCACTGGAAAAATACTTACTGGTAATCAAGGCGAGGTATCCAGTTCACTCTTGCTCGGCTGTAAAGTATCTTTGCATTAACTCAACTTTGTATTGTGCTGTGCCAGTGTTTTCATGAGCATTTCACATACTTAAATGCTTTGCAAGATCAGAAAGTAAACTGTTCAATATGATAGTGCATATTTTTTCACTATTTGCCCTCTTTGTTCACAGAACTTTTTCCCCCCGTTTTTCTAGTACATTAATCAGATTTCTTTCCTCTCTTACTCTCTACAGTTCTCAAAGCATTTTTCCTTTCAGTATAATCCAAATATGTGTAAAGATTTTCCTATTTACCAGCAGTGCACATTTGTAGAATTCCAAAGATGCCACTTGAACCAGTGCCTCAAGGGAGGTAGTTACAGTTCCAAACAGCCAGCACAACTCGGTGCTATCAGCTGATGGCACAAAGTCCACTTCCCAGGCTGAAGTACAAAGCAGGGTTCAGCCTGAGCACTCCATTTACACTGCACAGAAAGCAATTCCTGAAGCTGAAGTGGGAGGACAGCCAGGGCACCTGGGCTCTTCTTTACCAAACAAGGCCTCCAAGGGCCACCAGTTCCGAGAAACCAATATTAACTCTTCAGTGGTCTGTGTAACTACTACTGTATTCACAAGTATTTCTATTTATTCTGCCTTCCATTCTTTTTAACAGGGACCTTACCCAAAAGCAAACACTCACTGGTATTTTTTATTGGTCACACTAATCCAACAATGCATTTGCTACTTCAGATGGTAGGGAACTGATGGAAGCATTCTAAGAGACGCAAGTGGTGGTGGTAAATGACCCATGATTCAGACCCATATAAAAGAGTAGACAGCACGATGGCTCTGTAAACACTGATCTTAGTACTTTTCTTCAGGTGTTTGTTTTGCCAATCCTTAACATCCACTGGACTGACTATGTGACCAACACGTCTGTCCTTGAACAGGCAGCGGTCACGAGCATTGAGGCCATGCTGCTGAGAACACAGCTGCGCTGGGCAGGGCACGTCTCCAGGATGCAGGACCATCACCTTCCTAAGACTGTGCTCTATGCGGAACTTGCCACTGGCTGCTGCAAGAGAGAAGGCCCGAAGAGGAGATACAAGGACTGCCTGAAACAATCCCTCAGCCTTGGCCATATTGATCACCACCATTGGTCTACCCTGGCCTCCAATCGGGAGGCCTGGAGACACACCATCTATAACGCTGCTGCTGCTTTTGAGAACACACACAGGATCACTCTCGAGGAGAAAAGACAATGCAGAAAGAATCGTGTCTCGTTGATATCACCTGGGGAGTCTTTCTGCTGTGCAACTGGACCTGTCTATCTCGCATTGGCCTTTTTAGCCATCAGCACACTTGTAGCAAGCGTGGGTAGAGCCCCTCTCAAATCTTCGTTCGCGAAGCCTAGCCATGATGATGGTAGGGAACTACACTTTCCTTCTTAAAATCACACACAGTTTCATTTTGCTACATACATTCAACAATTATCCTCATGTACCTTTTAATTAGACCATCAATCACTCCTATTGAAATAAAAATCACTAGGTCTGTTTGGTATTGCTTTTTGGTCTTGCAGGTTAGGCTGGAAGAGAGTTCATTATTATGCTCACTGTTTCATACTTTGTGTCTCTCAGATCCTTCACAAAAACAAACCAAAACAAACAACGCTCCCTCCCCCCAAGTAATTTTATCATCTGACTTTTTCCTATTGCTCCCTAATTTTTTTGTCAAAGATGGCATGAATGCAACTAGAGGTGAGGCTTTCAGAATTGTTTTACCTATCATCACATACTAGCTACTTGGCTCATTTTTTTTTGTTTAGAATTCTATCTGTCCCTGGAGGTATTTATCCAAAACTCATTACCATGAGATATTGGAGACTTTGTGCATCCAAAGCAGCTGCAGAATTTATGACCACTAAGAAAAAACAATCACAGACACAAAGGTGAGTATCATCCATACATTTTACAAATCTGTCAGTTGTGAAAAAGCACCGCCATGTGTGAAAACAACATAAATCTGTACTTTAGTTATTCACGGAAGCAACTGCCAGAAATAATCTGAATCCAAGTAGTGCTATCCTAACTGAAATGACAAATTAATTTTATTATTTCAGCTTCTATGTCCTTCATTCACAGGTATAAATAATAAAATTTGCAATAATATGTAATATGTTTTTCTGATTTTCCTTTTACTTTATTTTCATCATAATAAAATAATAAGCTGATCCACAGATATTTAAAATAACAGTCCAACTGCTGCTATCCATTTGCACTAGCAGAAATGCATTTGTTTGAAACCATAGATGATTATTACCAATACTACTATCCTCATTGCACTTCTGCAGGGCTTTGAAGGTCCTAGATTTCTTTGTAATACTTATTCATAATGAAATTCTGCAAAGTCTTGAATAATTTGAGGGGGGGAAATGATCTTAAACCTGCATCTTCAAGCATTTGCTTCTTAATTAACAATGCCCGGGAAGAAGGAAAGCTTTATAACAGGATTCTGTCCCCATTCTGTGCATCCCCGTGGCAATATACATTGCTTTCCATATCTTTTCCTAATGAATTTATGAGCACATTTGATTCTCTCTGGCATCAAAATCTAACAAAGAAAGAGGAGTAAAGCCAAATACCCCAGAAGATGGCAGATTTGAGCTCAGCCAACAGGCTTAAAAAAAGCCTTCTGAGTTATTCTGCTTTCAGCCTGTACTTTCCAATTGCACTGCAAACTCTGTATTTAAGGAGATACACATCTGCCACCATTGGCAAAATTTACTCTCTGTACATAAAATACACACTTATAAAAAAATTTTACCAAAACATCTGTTCAAAAGGGGCAACTATTTGATACCATCTGTGTTCAGCCATAATCCCAATATAGGTGCTTTAACAGAGGTAGATACTGGAATTGCATTAGTTATAAGCAGTGGACAAAATTCAGATGCAAGTATGTATCTTATTGTTATATACAGTGTTATATGGCAATAATTCTACCTCTCTCGCTGACAGGAACATTCACACAGAAACTGATACAAATAAAAGCAGCAGAGTCCTGAACTTGTTTACTTCTAATTTACTGCAGATATGTGTACATTTCCCAGACATTATAATACATTGGCTTACTCTCTGCCTAACTTTGACAAAATGGTGCAATCCTAAAAAATTAAACCCTGTCATGAAATACATCATAAATATATATTGAGTCTGCATACCCTAACAACTGCTGAATGGTATCAATGGTAGCAAAACCTCTTATTGTGCAAACTGCACAACTTAAATCTACTTGGAATGCTATGGATAGTAATGTTATTAGAATTGTAAGAAATAAATTAGAAAACTAAGCTCAATCAAAAGGCTTTAGGAGTTTCACCACCATCATGTTTCTTTGTTTGTGAATAACTTAATTTTAAGAAAGTCATAAGTGAAGATTCCTTACTTGTATTGGTACAATTACACATGTTCAAAGATGACCAAGATGATATGATACCTTAACATTTAATGAAAGGCTCTACTGCGATTTCCGAAGCTATGCATTATGTCAAGGTGGAATTTGTTTTTCTGTATTTCATTACACAGCTGCTAAATTTTACCTAAAGAAGAAAATTGCGTTCCATGACCAGGAATGAAAGACTATGGAAATGGTCTGAGTAAGTATATATATACTCTGCAAGGCAGCAAATACATGTTTCTTTATGACTAAAAAAATTTTGGGATTAATTGCAGCAAATGTAATCTCATATCCAATTAATAAATTCACTCACCATGATTCCAGTAAGTAAACAGACTCCTTTCCCACAGTATGTATTAGGTACCATATCCCCATATCCAATGGATAGAAAAGTTATTGAAATCAACCACATTGCCCCAAGGAAGTTGCTAGTAACATCCTGTTGATCGTGGTATCTGAAAAGCAGAAAAAAATCGATTTCTTTATCATGAAAACAATTATTAAACTTTTGTGCTGCCAGAAAAAAACTGCATTAACTGGTTGGTTATATGATCATTCTTGTATTCTATCTCCTTTTTAAAAACAGCTATAAGGAATTAAATAAAACTCAAATGCAATTACATCAGCAGTAAAAAATCAGAAGGTAAAAAATAGAACCAGTAGTAGAGATACTTGTGATGGTTTATAATTCTGTATTTGGTTACTCTCCTTAAAAAAGCTGAAACCCTTTTTAATAGAATGTCTTCATCAGGAGTACAGGTCCTGCTAAGACTCTTCAGCAGCATAAGACACCAGTCTACTACAGTTGCAGTTTGAGGCTAATACAAAAGGGAGAGAAGGTTGAGTGTATAAGCAGACAGCAGAGCACATCTTCATTTCCTTGGCCTAAATGCAAGTCTATGATCAGAAGTCTAATCATGAGGTATCATGTAAATGCTGACTTAGACAACTTATGGCATACCCTCTCCATCTACATGTTCAAAATAAATAGAAAAATACTGTATTTTTTATACTATTGTATTTCTCATCATCAAAAGATCTTTACCTTAAATATAGCAAAACCACTCTTTTGTGTTAAGTCACCTATTAAATGAAATTTCATTATGTGCTATTTGCCATCTTAGTTTCATTATTATAGTTGAATATGTTCATTTGTCACTTCAAAGAAAAAAAGTTCAGATTAATAATCTTGTCTTCACATGACATACATACTTAATAGATTGTGAAGATATAAGGACACATTTTAAGTCCAAAAACCTGTTGTCAGCACTAACTCTGTGAGGAGGAAAAGTGCCTAACAGGCTAAGATAGGTGGAATTTTGCTCCTTGGACAGAGCAGCTCTCCCACAGAGACTTTCTGTGGCAGCCACTGCAGACTCAAGGTTGCAATCACCCCTGCAGCTGCTGTGAAGCTTCAGGTTAACTACAAGCTGTTAAATTCCCCAGGGGTATTACTTTAGCCATTTCTTAAATCCGTGTCTTACAGTGGGTCACAGAGAGTCATTAACAAATTAGTTCACAAATCCGTAAACAATCCGCTTTCCACAACTGAAATAATTGCTTATTTTCCTTCTTTCTGGACCGCAGTCTCTGTGACAGAGCAAGAATGCAGAACGAGCACACAGGCTCTCTCAAGAAATTCCTTATTCTCTCATTTGTAAGATATTTACTGTAAAAGTCTGCAAAACTCTGCTTTCAAAGTCCCACCTATGCCTTGATAATTACAAAACGTTAAGAACTGTTTGACTACCAGGGACCACAGCAATCACTCCAAACAAGTCTGTTCCATATTTCACCTGTACTTTTATCTCTCCTGGTCTCAGTGTTGTCTCTCACATACGTTATACAAGCTTCTGAAGATTTTTTTTTCTGCCTAGAACAAAACCTAGAACAATGTTGAAGAAGCCCACATTTGGGCTCCTAAAGATGACAATGACACAAACAATGACAACTACAACAGCATCAAGACAAGTAAAAAAAACAACAGCAATTTTGACTTAGCTTATGACAAAAAACAATTAGACATTGAGCTTTTTCCAGTGTGCACTCAATACTATGGATTTTAGTCTCCACTTAACAAACTTAGCAAATAACAGCTGTGAAATATATGGATACAGGGAGAGAAACACAGTCATCCCATCCAGAAGGCAAGAAGAAAGCCTATTTACCTAATCGTGCTACTCCCTACACAGTATCATGCAAGTGATATGACCCATAGGGTCTGGATAAGCTTCACAGAAGGGCACTAAAGCCACAATACATTCTAAAGCTAGCAACTTAAATACTAGTAAATGCTCACATACATTTCTTTAATGCCTCTCTTTGGATTTTGAACCCAGCCATTTTCATACTTCAGATAAGAAAACTGGTTCTCCTGTGAAGATGAAAATGCAATGCAATGCTTTTGATTTTTTCCACATTTTGTCCAAACAGTTACATCATTACAAAATTTCAGCCCTCCACAGTGATAACATCTTAATAAATGATAGACATCTTGATATGATTGAAAACAAAACATTCAAAGAGAGCTCACTGAGTTACAGAAATAAACACCAGTTTCACACAAAGAATGCCAAAACGTCTCTCTTAAGCCTTGAACAATACAAGGAAAACATAATTGAGTATTTATTCAGTTATTCTCCTTTACCCATTTCAGAAAACACAAAAGCCAACATACACAAAGATTCTTTAACAATGGTGACATAGGGTTAAATTTTAAAAAGCACATCAAAAGTTTTTTAAAGTTTCCTTGGAAACACAGGGACAATTAAGGTTCCCTAGATAAGCTGTTTGTTAAAGCCATCTGCATCCATATTGGGTACCACACTTCAAAGACCTGTTCAAATGTTTTCATCTTGTTAGCTCTGGCCTAATGGATTTCCTACTCTAAGTACTTCACCTGGTTGTGACTTCAAGGTTCTAGTTCAGCAATCAAATGTCGTATGCTTATTTTAAAAATCAGCAATACTTATGAATTACTTTACTATGACTCAGAAACACTCCCTATTGCCTCAACTGCTCAAGCACGACAAAGTATGCAAATTATCTAATTTGCCTAATTTAATTTTTCAACAAAACCTAAAAACTTTCTCTTGCAACTGTACAGGGAAAGTTGAAGGGGAGACTTCTCATGTTAAAAATCTGTAAGCAAAATAGAGACAACCTAAAAGGGTGTCACTATTCTGAGAATCCCATAATTTCTTTGCCAGATTTACAGGAAGGTGGTTTGCTTTTGTCTTGCATTTTTTTGTAACCTCAGTCATGATTTTTGAATCTCTGTGGTTAGCAACTCTGATACATGTTTACACCATTCTCAATTTCATAAGATTATAACTGTGCCAGCATATATTTCCAAGTGCTCTACTATGTCACTAGGCACCACTACCACTTGGGATTCAAGCTTGAATGAGAGAAGCCAGGGCAGTCTTCTGCAACCCTATGTCCATGAGCAGGTAGAAAAAGCAGGAAAAGCAATTTCTTTAAAAAGTAATAATTACAGCATCTTGTTTGTATAGTCATGGAAATGGTTAAAAATCAACATCGGAGGCATATAAGTTGCTCTGTTTTGAGGAGGGGGAAAGAAATCAATCCAATTGTCTTTTATTACTTGCTTTCAAAGTTATCCCACCACTAAAGACTGAACTCCTCCATTTATACAGGGAATAGTAAAATGGACAGAGCAAAAGTTAAACTTTCCCATGTTTTTCTATAATTGCAGCTCTAATGTGTGGCACTGAAGTCACCGGAGGACCTGGAAAATGTCATTCCTACCACTGTATCTTCACTTTTGAGACTGTCCCCAGTAGAGCCAACTGCAATGGACACTATCATGAGGAGAAAAGCCATCCAAACCAACAGCTGGAGCAGAGCTGTCTCACTCACTGTCAGTAATCATATGCCACTGCAAACATCTCCAAATTCCAGCTGGACTGTGAAAGGCAGCTTGGATGTAACATGCTTCAGAATTCAATTGTAGCTTTTCTAAACTATCCATTCATTCTGTATCTGAGAGTTCTGAGATTTGACAGGAAAACACTGTACCATAAACAGATCGGAAACCCAAAAGCTCAGGAACTAAGGAAAAAGAAACAAAAATTTGCTTTCAGTGACACAAAACAAAATCCCGTCATTACCAAACAAATTCCAAACCAGAAGATTTGTTGTCACTAATTTTTATTCTGATGAGGGTTTTTATTTTCATTAAGATTTGGATTTTTAAAACTAGAGTCACTACAATTATATTGATTTAAATATTTAAAGTCCACTATTCTTAGACAATAAAAGCTTGCAATAAAAATACAGTGAGTCACTTAAAGATAAGAGCTACTATTTAACTGTTAAAACTGCAGCTACAGACTTACATGCCAGCAGAAATAAGGGTCATTTAAAAAAAAAAAAAATGTATTCCCCCAAAGTAGAAAAACCATTAGCTGAAGTCACACAGGCATAAGAATTATTTATCACATTCCTTTTCTAATAGGAAATATGCTAGCAGGCAGGTGGTGCTGCAGCTGGACCACACTATTCACCAGGCAATCATCATCCTGTGAAACACCACTATCCAGTTCTCACCAACTATCATATGTAAGTTCTGACACTACTGTAATTTAAACCAAAAATAGCTGAATGATTATATTTGTGCAAAAATAGCATGGCTCGATTCCTTCTTATGCCAAACTGAGTGGGAGTTTTACAACTCATCTCAGAAAAAATAAATATATTCCTCAGCTGACAATACTGCAGTAGCTTTGGTTGTCAAAGAAGTGTTTCAATTTCTTCATCAAATAGCAGTCCTTTCCTTCTGGTATCACTACTGGTATCATGATTTTCAGTACTGCTTCCCTTCAGAACCATGTTCATATGTGATGATGTTTCATTTACTTTGGTAGAATATCATCTTTCTAGCTGCACACAATGACCAAACATTCACATTTTGACATCTAAAACACATTCATCTTAAAAAATGATGAATAAGAAGAAGTCAATTAGCATCAATCCACACTTAGCAGCTTCATTTCAGTTTGTCTTGCCTCCATGGACAGCTTCTGATTATTCTGCCATCTTTGGTTTTGCTTTCTTGAACAACTCAAGGAAAGAACTAAAAAGTGGTTGAAAAGATGACCCTTTTCTTAGGAAATAGAATGGACTGCTTTTACCATAATAATTAAGAAATTCCTGGCCTGTACTGGAATGGCAATCCAGGCTGAGTTTTGCTTTGTCAAACCTTAAAAACTTCTAGACCAGTAACAGCTGGAAACAGGCTCAGCCCATTAAACCAGAAATTTACAAAGATGCTGTTGAGACACTGATTGATCTAACCAGCTATTAGAGCTCCCCCACAGTATCAGGCCATTGTGTTATGAAATGCCTTTTTAATCTTTAGTTAGATGGTAGGTACTGGCAGCTTTTTAGCTGTTAATACAGTGATGATAACAGACAGGGTCTTTTTATTACT